TAATTATGAGTGGTTGTTGTGTGAGCAATAAAATAAATTTAAAAATAATTTTTAACATCGATGAAAATTGAACGCGAAGTTGATTAATAGCGATATACTAATTAAATGGGATATACTAATATACTATACTAATGAATGTATTTTTTTTTTTCATTCTTTTCAGTTATCCGACAAACACGAGTCTCAAATTGAGTCGAATAATCGATGCTCTACTGTATTGACTTCCTCTATCATACAATACACATGGTCTAAATTATTTCCAGGAATAAATTCCTGAACAAAACGGGTTATTTTTACCTATGGTGCCAAAATGGCAAAATTTCCGGTCGCCATTTCGAACTCTTCTCGAGACTTCGCGATAACCGATGGTTCAAACGGAGCGGTCACGTGTCCTAAATTCAAACATAACTTATTCTAGTCGATTACAGTAATACCCCGAACTTACGCAATAGGTGAGACCGAGCGATAACCGCGTAAGTCGAATTCGCGTAAGTCGGGGTATAATTTTCTCAATTTCTATAAAATCCAAGTCGGATGTGTGTAAGCTAATAAATGTTCTCATTAATCTTATCTCACTTTTTGATTCGTTCACTGTTACAAGAAATCATTACATAGATTCTCTCGAGTTTCCGTAGAAATAACAAACACAGAAATAAATAACACAAAATAAATTGTAGCAATGCGTCGATTCTGCACGATACGTCCGAACATGTAAGCTGAACAATAGTGTGGATGGAGTGAGTAATCAAGAGTGCGTGCCGCTCAAACAAAAGACGAATCGACGAGATTTGAAAATCGCGTAAGTCGGGGTATTACTGTATTGAAATTATTACTCAATGTTAGTGATCCTTTTTTTCCTTTCCTACGTTTCTTTCCTGACGAAGTCGATTCCTCAGCACCTGTGGACGTTTTTTTCTTTGTCTTATTAGTCATTTTGTTTGTTGTGTTGTCCTGTTTTTCCTTCTTTTTTATATTAGTAACTGGTGCGGCGGGAACACACACTGGTTCTATCCATTAAGGTGTTTTTTCGGTACCTGGATATGTCATACTCAAGTGTTTTACGAATATTTGAAATCTTTCTCCGGGGTTTCTAGCTGGCCATTTCATGAACTTCTTATACATAAAGGAATACATGTATGAGTCCGAGAGATCATCCGTGTAATGCTTTGGTAAATTGTTTTTTTATTTTTTAAATAACCACATAACCTTTGAATGTTTTGAGTATGACCGTCCATTTTGGGGTTTACGAAGTTTATTGGATGATTAACTGTTCTGTGTTCAATATCTATTTCTTCAATGTCGTCTGTGTGATTATATCCCTTCCATTCATCGGTTATAGCTAGACTACCAGAAATTACAAATTTAGACAACCCAATTTAGTGTGGTTTCAGATCTGTCGTTCACTTGACAAATGAAGCAACTATTGTCTCCTACGACCCATTTTGTAGATTTCAGTATACGCCCTATTTCGTATTTGCGTTTGCATATTACTGTTTCATCTACTTCGACGGTTTTATTAGGAATTCCGATTTTAAATGAGGTCATGTTATTCATAGCTATAAGCATCACTAAACGTATGTGGTTTGACCAATCGATGCCTGCCTTCTTGAAATACCTGCAGGCTGCAGCAACAGCCAATTTGTTGACGTGCATTCCAAACAAAGGTAATGCCATATGAACTACAAAATTCCATCCATGAAATGTTGCCACATTTGTCCTTAAAAGTTCTATCATAATCTGAATACTTCCTTCCACAATTGTTACGTCTTAACAAACTCGAATTTCTATCACTTCGATAGTATATTTTACAAGTTTTTGAACATAAACTGCACACACCATCGATTAGTTGTAATCCTAATTTTAAAGCAAATTTAAACGCATTATCAATACCTGGTTCCAAATCTAATTCCAAATATTCCCATTTCATTAACTGGTAAAATTTACAGGTTGTACAGTAGAACCGGCCCAAAATTTGCCCGAAATTAAAGTGTGAGATTTNAAAATGTCATTCCGTAAAATGTCCTACAATTGATAGTTCCAAAGCATTGACGTTTGTAGCAAAGCCACAAATTGCTTATATTAAATAATGTAACTTTAAATTAAAAAAAGGTAAAAAACACAGGAAATACAACGAATGTATTAATTTAAAAATTAAACGTTTTTCGTCAAAGAATTATTGTTTTCTTTATTAATTATGTTGTCGGAGATCGATAATGATGCTGCTTGATGTCGAACAACATTTCGACTACGCAAAATTTATAAGGCCAAGCGTAAGCGATGCAAATTCTCGTATTCTCTCGGCCGTATGTTGTCTTTGATTTGTCACACTAAACATTCAACAAAACAGTCAAAATCTATCTGTTCGACAATTAAAATAAAATTTATTTACNCCTGGTTCCAAATTTAATTCCAAATATTCCCATTTCATTAACTGGTAAAATTTACAGGTTGTACAGTAGAACCGGCCCAAAATTTGCCCGAAATTAAAGTGTGAGATTTTCGGTATTTTGGCATTTATGACGTGGTTTATGATCATAGTGTTGTGGCAGTTTCGGTGTTAATTTTTTTATAAATGATTTATTGAGCAAAAGCAAATCTGTTCGAAAAATTACACCTACTCGGTAACTACAAAGCAGAAAAATTTCTATATCAATTTTTCTTGATCGTTTATAATATCATTTATGATATCATAAATGATATTATAAATGGAATAATATCAACACATTTCGCACTCCTGGAAGTGTCTAGCAAATCGCTAGCCACTTCGTAACTGGACATTCAAACTCTGCCTAAACTGACCTTCGTACACTTTTCCTTTCGTAACAAGTTTCATTTACTTTCTGGTTTTTTTGTCTACGTCGTTTTTGATACATTATTAGAGAGGTTTCGGATGACGTTTTCATCGCGAAAACGTGTACGTCGGACGTTCAGCGCTAGTAGCGTAGCGTAGTGTGGGTGGCCGCTCCGGGCGGCACTTTTTAAGGGCGGCAAAATTACGTTTTAGGGGAGCGGCAAAATTTCACAATAAATAAGAATAATGCAGTATCTTGTAAGAATTTGAACCATTTCATTTCATATTTTCGTTTACCCACGACTCGGACCGATTGAAATGAGCACGTAATAGTGTTACTCTGACAATGCCGAAGGGCCTCCCTATACTTCGGCACCACGTGACCGAAGGGTCGACATCGCGTCAGAGAAGATCGCAATGACAAGTTTTCGTCAGGACTGACGCCACTGTGTCTTCACGGCTAGACACAGAAACCGTTTCGTTCGGGCGTGTGAGCGGTCGCGTGTGTTAGCGAACAGAGTCGGGATGGAAGGAGAGACAGCGCACCGGAAGTGACTTACTCATAGACATTTTAACGTAACAACTGTTTAATGGTTAACGATAAGCTATACATTAGGGCTGCTGTTAGATACATTTCTCGATTTGATAAGTATTACATATTAAGATATGACCCGATTCGAGAGAGAGTTTACAGAAGTTCGCGTGTCGATAATTCCCTTGTATGAAATCCCAAAAGAAGACAGTTCTGGACTCAGAAGACAGAAGACAGTTTTTATTTCCACAGTTATTAGTCGAAGAAATATCCACAGGCGAGGAAATATCCAAATATTTTAGCACAGGGAAACCTTGAGTGGTCTGATCGAGGAACTGGTGACGACTGCCTCACTTTGTTGTCTGTTTTTCATGTTGGATTGTTGAAACGGAGATATTAGGTCGAAAGGTGCTGAGAAAGCGTCGTTATTAAGCCTGAGAACTTAGCAGATGTTTAGCTCCCAGGTGTAAAAGTTGACAGTTATCGAATGAAAGTATGGCTACAATGTGATCTTATGATGTAATGATATAAACACACGGAAAGTCTGGATTCGGATACTGATAAATACATTATTAGTATAGTATATTAGGATATTAGTACAGTAGCCTCGAAAACTCGACCTAATGTGGACCGAAGGGTGGCCGAGTTTGTGAAAATGCCGGGTTATCGGGAATGGGGTTAAAAAAGGATAAGTATGCGTGTTTCCTCAGAAAATATTGTACTGTACTTGTATGTACTGTTTGCTTGAGAATACAACAGAGAATAAACTGCCCAAATACTCTTAAACAAAGTAAAAGTACGTCCTTTATGAAGGCATAGAGCCTTTACTACATGAAAATGAAAATTAATGAATACACAGTGTACAGTAATTTACTTGATAAGACAGACCTTAGAAAAATACTTTATGAGGCATAAAGCTGTCTATAATGAAAATTAATTAACTAAGGATTTTTTTACCCTGCCAGGGTGTGGCCGAGTTATCCGGAGTGCCGGGTTATCGAGTGCCGAGTTTTCGAGGCTCTACTGTATATCCCATGTAATTAGTTTATTAGTATATCGTTATTAACCAACTTCGCGTTGAATTTTCATCGATGTTTAGCCTAACAGATATTTTAAAAATAATAATCGTCACTATTGTATCGTTAAAAATTACTTTTAAATTATTTTATTGCTCACGAAACAAACAACCACTTATAATTAGAAAATTAAGTCTCCTTCAATGGTCGAACCGTTGATGCCAGCTAAAACACGCAAAAATTTAACAAAAATAATATTAAAGTAGCCAAGACATAGCCAAATATTGTAGCGCCACATCGCTAGCGGACGTTTGAAATTTGCCGACTAGAACGGTCGGTTAACCGATGTGACGGTTAATCGGGCGTCGGATAATCGATGCTCTACTGAACAACTTTTTTCAAAGAAAAGTTCTTTGTTTCAGTCATTTCTTTCGTTATTCGCACCATCAGTAGTTCATAAAAATAACTAAAACTCACGGAGACGACCTTCCTTTTTAGGCTACTGCCTCCGTAGTTAAAGTGCAAAAATGATAAAAGCGTCACCCGGTGTTCTTGCCACAATCACATAATACAGTACACTTTAAGTAAAAATAATAAGTTTGACATGGCCAACGATTATTTAATATTACGTCTCCGTGAGTTTTAGTGATTTTTATGAACTGCTGATGATGCGAACAACGAAAGAAATGACTGAAACAAAGTATTTTTCTTCGAAAAAAGTTGTACTTATATTTATTATATTAATATTAAATAATCGTTGGCCATGTCAAACTTATTATTGACAAGACTATGTCTTATTTATAAAATCGTACTGCCGTTTTATGTTACCAGCTTAGAGGTATGAAGGAGTAGGGGAAATACGTACAAAATGACATACGGTTTTATTTTAGGTTCATAACTCTTTATTGTTAAATCACAGCACTGTCATATTCTACATCAATCATCTTTGGTTCTTTACCTATAAAATATACTAAACATTTACAATATTAATTAAAATAATAGAAAAAAATATTGTAAGTTTAATTGAGATCATCCAAAATCCATTTTGTCCATATACTATGGACAAAATGACACATTACGTAAGGACAAAATGACATACACGTAAAAACTATAAAATTACTGACAAAGTTCNTATAAAAGACTTCTCTCGGAAATAAAGCGAGACATTGAGTAGCATGTAAAAAGAGTTGCAGTACCATATGAAACTGCTATAATAAATAACGCCATTTTTATGATTGTATTCATCTCTGTGAATAGTGCAGCACAAGTCATGTAAATACCGTAGCGTTAAGTAATTCGAAGGATGTATTCACGAATGCCATTAAATTATTCAGATACACAAGTTCGGTGTGTTCATGGACCAAATGATTCAAACTAGATTTTGAAATTTTTCATTTCATTTGAATTTCGAAGAAATCCTCGGATAAACGGCAAAACGTCTTTTGTACAACCCGACCGGTGATAGCAATTTGCGAAAAGATTAGCAATGACTGTCACGTTTGTAATTAATGACACAGATGAGAGCAGAAACGGATGAAGTTTTAATAAGCAAGGAAGGCATGCATGACATGGAAAAGTTTTTCTCCAGCTCCGAAGTTTTCAACAGAAAAATCAACGGAAATAAAGGTATCAGTATCTCCAGCTCTTCCGGGCTTCAATATTTGTAATTATCCCTTCGAACTAAGCGAAACTGATCTTCTGGTGTACGAAGTATCAGCTAACGGTATAAAAAACACACGGAGAATTTGCGTAACGAAGAAAATATACCGGGACAGGAAACAAAGTGTGTAGATTATACTATATATTTGAAAGAGAACAGTAGTAGTTCAAGTTCTTCTTAAGCAAAAAACGGATATTTAGAAAGATTATCATGGGGTGAAGGCAAATGCTTTTTCTGTTTTCATCGGAAAATGTGATTACGAGACTGCAATTGAAACACTAGAGAAGTTGAAACGTTTGAAACCCAAGATGACACAGAAGAAATGTTTTGTGTGTATTTTTTATTTTGTGTGCGAGAAATGCGACGTTACTACAATTCAGACTTTCAGAGAAGCGTTTTTTTCTGCCAATTCTGTTATTATGAAGCGTTATCCCATCTTTATATTTATTAACCCAGTCGAAAACGATTATTTTCTTGACGAGATTCGGATCATTTCTGAAATAAATGTAAAAGTTTAGGTTCTTGTTATAGTAAGTTAAGTGAAGTTTATCTGATTCTGTTATGTGCCAAAGAAAAATTGAAAGAAACCAGCCAAATATATCCATCAATCTTGGAAAGGAATAGTCAATATATTCATCAACTTTAGTAAGAAGATGGAAGATGTATTACGCCTAC